AGAGAGAAGGATGTTGTGGGGGATCATGTCACAAGCCTTACAGAAGTCCAGACAGTTGACATCCATAGCTCATCAAACATCAAATGCTCTGATCACTACTTACAATTCATAAACCGTAACTCAGATTATTGTGCAGATATTATGGGGGAGAAGAGGCACAACCTGTGTTTAAAACCAGGTCTCTGAAAGCACACTGCTCTTATACTGATTAACTCTATAAATACTCTACACAAAGATCAGTCACTGGCTGGTACCAGTGAGATAAAACCCACACTAAATTATTTAATGACTAGGAAATGGCATAGACTTGCCTTTGCTTTACTCCCCAGGACAGCAAATGTTCATATACTTGCCTTGAGGAAGCTGATATGGTCAAATATATTAATGGAATTGGGAAATAATTGAAGGTTCGTGTTTATAAAAAAATGATGATGATGGACAAATTAATGTCAGTCATTACCACAGTCTGTTTGTGTCTCTTAGAGAAGTCCAGACTTACACACATGTCTGCACAGAGAATTACAGGCCATTGAAATATCCACATTACTGAGCACCTTGTTGCTAACAAATGTTGCAAATGTGTAGTTGGTATCAACTCTGTACTTAAAATTGCTGCCTTGAGTCCAGCTCTGTAAGGATAAGGATTGTGCAAGTTACTGCCTTGCTAAAATACCAAATGTCACTGTAAACATCCTTTCTTTAGCAGGTCTGGTTTTCTTCTACTCTGAGACCAACACTGATGCTGAGTTGTGGGACTGTGATCAGTCATCACATCGCAACAGACAGGGACAAGGACAGGTTCACAAAATTCAGCAGACTTGAGGCTGTGCGCTTGGATCTGACTCTCTTCTTCCACAGATGAAAGGTTGGTGTAAAGATTCTTTACAAAACACTAGAGATTTTAATAGTACTAAACACACTGTAATCAGAGACAAAGGAATGCCACAGCAGTTTCACTCAGCATCTGAGGATGCTTGGATCCCAGGTTTAGCTTTGCCAGCTAAATGGTAACAAGGATTAAGGAGAAGTTCTGATTTCACGCCTCAGGAATGCTCCTGGGCAACAGCTCCCATCCCTTTAATTACAACCCCTCCCAGGCCAGAAATTGTAACTAGAATCCAAGGGTTAGAAAACCAGCCACACAAATATTTGTTGATGAGAGATAAAAAGGAATATCCCACACACACATTTGCATCCTGGTTTTGATATGAAACAGCACTGGCACACAGTATGAAAATGCAAATTGCAGCAACATGCACTTGGAATCACCATGCAAGAGGAAGCAAAAATAAATAAGCAGTTGAAAGGTACCTCAGAAGTAACCTTGCTAGACAGTAATTTACAGGTGTACTGGTAGAAAGGGAAAAGACCAGCATTAGTACATTGAACAAGCATGGTATAACTAGGAAACAAGAACAAAATAAAGAAATTGCAAGAACTGGCACATCCCAGAGTATAAGATTTCAAGCAACTTGGTGTCATAAAAAAAAAAAAAATTAGTCAGTTTGGTGTTTTTTTAATGAGGTTGCTTGGCCAGTCTCAGTCTTGTTTACCATCAGTGCTTGACCCATTTTCTTGCTGCTGCTTTTTCTCTTTTTCTCACCTGTTGAAACCTCTACCGTAACACATCCTCTTTGGAAGAAACCGCCCCTTTGCCTGAGCAGTGAAGTTCTTCCAAGAGCAGATGCGCTTGATTTGCCCTCGCTTTCTGAAAGGCAAAACCTGCAAGCCCCAGCCAGAGCGGCTGCGTTGTAGCCACTGAAGCTAGACATAAAACAGAAGGAGGTGATGTTTAAAGGAGAGACAGGGGAGACGTCTTCAGGGGTTTAG